GCACTACATATAAATATTCAATTTCTAACTATTATATGTTTGGCATTGACCAAATATTAAGAGCCAGGACTGCTCAGTCAAAATGAGCTTTCAAGAAGCATCCAATAAATCAACTCAAACAAATTATTCACTGGTAAATTATCCTTCTGTCTGGTGGTTGTGAGAACGATAGAGAATGGTCTGCTGCTATCGTAAACTAGTGTAATAAATAAACAAGATGGCCGGTTGTCAAGGGTAAAAATTACACCATTGAAAATGCAATTGGGTTTCAGAGACCTTCATACTTAAACTCTGCAGTAAGGAGAAATGGAATTTTATAGTTCAGCCTTGAAGGTCACTTTTTTTTTTAAACTGTAATTGAGAACTGAAGACTAATCATTATTAAGTGTTATAACAAAATAAGAAAACATATCAACAATTAAAGCTTGCATTAAGTGGGAAAATTATGTTTCATTTAGCTACAGAAATTCTGTTTTGCTAATGAAATAGTCTACAATGGTAGACAAAATTGAAACTAAAATATATACTTAGTTGTTGTTAAGTGCTGTCCATTATTCACACATTAGCATATTAAAGTATTCTATTTTAGAAATAAGGTTATAACCAAAGTACTCAAAATAGAACAGCTATACCAAATTGCCTACAATTTAGCAAATATTTGAATAACCTTTGACTATGATACAGAGCAAGTAATTTTGAATCATGATTACTAAAATACAAAAATGTATAGCTTAAAGGTGACATATCATATCTGTTTGATCAAATATTTATACTCAGGTTAAATAAAAGAAAAATAAACACACTTATTTGCCTCTTTCTTTCTTTCTTTCTTTCTTTCTTTCTTTCTTTCTTTCTTTCTTTCTTTCTTTCTTTCTTTCTTTCTTTCTTTTCTTTTGTATTGGGACCATCTTAAGTCTGGCTGCATCTTTCTGAGTGAAAGTGAAAGGAAAACCCAAGGAGTTTCATGTTAAAAGAAAACAAAACTCAAAAACCAAACAACCAGCAACCAAAGAAAAAGTTCTTCACCTACAGCAGAAGCAGTCGAATATAGCAGCAGGAAGCCAAAATGTTCCTGCTCCTCCACTGAGAATCTTGGATTTTAGGGAGAGGTTAACATGTATTTAGTGGTATCTGACCTGCAGCAGAAATTTTTGTGGAATGAATGCAGGTTTTCCCCCCATTGTGTTGACACGCTTTTAGATACAACTATTAAAGAAAGGATCGTTAACTCGGTCTATTCTGAGAATATTACCTTTACTTGGTTGCTTTAACTGGAACCTGGCTCTCTCCTAATGACATTGCTTCCACTGCTGCCCTCTCAAGCAGTGATTCTTTTTCTCCCACACCCATTCTACCACTAGCTCTAGAAGAACAATATGAAGTACCTCTAGGTCACCGCCCATTCTCTGAAAATTTTAGCTTATAGTTCACCCACTCTCTCTTATAAGAATTACTCTTGTCTTAAATTCTTGGTAATTTCAATATCCATGTAGACATATTCTGGCTTCTCTTTTCTTTAGCCTCTTTCATAACAGTTACCATACTCCCATGGTCATACCCAGCTAAGACATTGCCATTACCACTATCTACACTCTTCATAGAACCACATTTTCAACAATCTCATTTCCTTTCCACTGGCAAATAAGTCTTTTTAGTTCACTCACTCTCAATATTTTGATCTCATGGAGAAATACAGTCTTTTCATCTTCCTTCCTTTTTGCTCACTCTCATTCCCTTCAGATCCTCATTTTATTCCATACCCAGTTTAGCTCCTTTGGCTCATCACTGTGAGTGCTCCTTTGCATACAACTCTGTTTCCTTTATCTTATCTATTTCATCGTCCCTCTCTTAGCAAAGCCCTAGCTCTGATTCAATCCACCTTTGTCTGTTTCTATACCTGAATCTCCATCTGAAGGCTGGAAAAAAATATAATTATGCTGAATTATCTCATTTAAAATATATTTTTTTTCTGAGATTTTAATGTTGCCCAAAACAATTATTGAATTTACATAGCTCATTTACTCTCTCGCCCTTCTAAACAACATTTTTTATTGTTTTTCCAATCTAAAAGGACTTGCTAAGAGTTCTAACCACCACATTTACATAACTGCCATATGCTCTGCCTTCTTTCACATTTTTATAAATGAACTGCTATGTTGATAACTAAGGCAAAGTCCTCCACTCTTATACTGTTTTTAGTCAAGAAATCAGCCCAACATTCTCTGTTCACTTTTTTTTTTTGATCAAATATTGATTCTCTGTAGAATCATTCCCTTTAAAAAACATGCTAATCTTTTTCAACTCCATATTTACTACCTAACATCATGTGTCCTCACATCCCATTTATCATCTCCCATTCTTTTTGGAACCCCTCTAATCAGGCTTTTTCTTCTACCACTTCACTAAAATCGTTGTTGTTAAGATCACCAGTGACATCTAAATTGCTAAATCTAGTGGTCAATTCTCAGTCTTCACTTTTCTTGACCTATCAACAGTATTTAACACAGTGAATCACTCTTTTTTTTTTTTGAAAGACTTTACTTGGTTTCACAATATCATGTTCTCCTTGTTTTTCTCTTACGCTTTAGTCACTCCTACTCAGTCTCCTTTTCTGATTCCACCTCTTTGCCTGGTTTCTAAATTTATGGGTGCCTCCCAAATCTTATACCTTTTCTGTCCTTTATCTGTACTCAATCTCTTAGATATCTCATTTGGGACAACTCCCAAATTCATATTCCCAGACTATATCTCTCCTTTGTATTCTGGGTACAACTGCAGTCAGTTCTATAACACTTATATGGAGAATGCAAATTTGTTCCAAAGTGATTGATGTTAAAAAATAATTTGAGCATAATGCTAACTTAAAAATTGCTTTCACGTGTCAATTTTGTTCTATTATATATGTATGTTTCTCAGATGCACGGAGTTTAATTTTGTTGTATACGTTTTTTAGTTGCTGGATGTTTCTTTGTTTTGATTTTCTGTTTTTATTTTGGTTGTTTATTTGATCAGAGAACTGTACTAGGCAGAGTGAATGCTCAAAAAAATATTTGTTAAATGAATGAATAAATGGGTTCAGGAGATCCTGTAAAGTCAATGGGAAATAAATGCAATATTTTTGTACACATGTTATTTTCAAGGGAGAGAGATCATGCTTTATCTGAATTTTGAAAAGGACCCCTAAATATCCACAAAAATCTGAGTAATATTATAATTCTAACAATGATTCATTAGGATGTTATTTATCCTTCACATGTAGTTTAAGCTACTTAAAATGTTCATATAGTAATTATAATGCTTAAATATTGTGTTTATTTATGAATTTTTAAAAACAAATTCAACTATTTAAAAAAACTAATAGAACTTGGCATTTAAAATGACAATAGTGCTAATACTTTTGTTTTTGCTGATTTTATTTCTTTAAATTAAAATTTATTACAAATGTAATATACATTTATCATAGAACATTTGGATTCCTAAAAGCAACTTGTACATTTGTTTATAATTCTATCATGCAATGTTAGTATTTTGCGGCATACTATTTGAGTCTCCTTCCTATGCATAGCAGTCATAGATAAACTATTTTATAGATGAACAAATCTTTGTTATATTAATAATAATCTCTTTTAGTTCTCTGAAAACTTTAAGTATTATACATAGTACCAACTAAATTTTCTTAAGTATAAAAGTTAGAGTTAAAGGAAAAGTAAAACAGTCTACAGAACAAGTAAAACAGATGCTTTAAAAAGTTCTTACAGAAAAAATAATTCTTAATATTCACATAACTTTATAGTCTTTTATTAATACCAGTTCTGTTCTTATTTTGAAAAATTTCATATACTTGTTGACTCAGTGTCTAAGGCCAAAATATTCTAGAAATAGTAAATCAAAAGTGGAGAACGGAGTGAATACTACAGGCAGTCACACTAACGACAGTGAGATAGAAGCTTGACAAAAGTTGAAAAGAAGACAGCTATATAGAGACTGAATTAAATATACCAAAGCTGAGAGATATGAGGCCATTCAGTATGAAGCAAATAGCCCTAAACAACAGTTCAATTGCTGCTGAGGTTATGGTTTTACAGCCACTATAATATAAATCATAAATATCACTGGAGGTGGGGTGACTGTGTTGTAGTATTCTCTGGGTTAAGAAGTAATCCTGATAGTCAAAAACAAACAAACAAAAAGTATTAAACTTTCAGATACCGGAAATATTTGGCTCTTTAGAATGATACACTTTCCAAGGATTACTATAATTAAAATATCGACTTTTGTATTAAAAAGTATATGTCCACAAGTGACTCATTCAAGATTGTTAGTAAAATGTGTGACTCAAAGAGAAGGAAGAGGGTGCATTCTTTAATTATAATACTGACCTTTGTAGTTGGTTAATGAAGACAAATTATAAGCCTAATTGAAAGATTTATATGTAGATAAAGGGGAAATGAGGAAATTATTAGGGTGGTATCCGAATTCTGAAGAAAGATATATATTCAAATCTGAAGGAATAGAAATAGAGACTATCGCAAACCTCCTCGTCATCCTTAATCTAGGATGAGTCAACACTTCAGTGAAATGGACTGGGCCCATACCTCATATACACCAATTCCCAAGAAAATTCTAGGCCAGTCTTATTTGAACTGACTAAATGTTTGGTACGAGTGTTAAAAAACAAAATTCCTGAACTATATTTTTCCATATGAAACTTGTAAATAATAACGAAAGCTTGAAATTATAAATCTCTTTGATAAAGGATAGTAGGTAGAATGTTCTCTAAAATTTGATATGTTGCCTGATGCTTACACATAAGCAAAATTAATTCTTGTGAAAATGGCAGCCGAAATTCTTCTAAGCCTTTCTCATGATAATCCTCTATAGGAAGGGAGTGTCTGAATTGACATGGTTAGTATAGTAGATCATTTTATCCATTTCTTGTTAAAATTATACATTAACAATTTTTCATTTGCTAAAATTACTATAATTCAAAGAAAAATTACCTTTAAGGCTGTTTTGAACTTCTATTGCTATATCGAGAGCATTAAAGGGCAGAACTGGTTCGTTGGCAATTTGTAAAATCACTTCTCCTGAAAGCTGAAAGAACAAGAAGGTGAAATGCTAGTATTCAGTATTAAGGGTTTTATCTGTTTGCTTTTCATTATTTTGTACACTCATAGATCCAGAGTAGCAAAAACATAGATGGTAGAATAGACTTTTACAAAGTCTTTTTCTTTTAAACCTTTTTTTATTTTTCTAAAAGAAAAAAAAAAAATCCCTCAGTATCTGTCTCATGTCTCAGAATAATATAAAAATATAAAATTGTATTCCTTTTTTAGCTGTTAAGAAATTGCTTCCCTAGTTGGAGTTACAATGTTTAAACTTTAAAACAATTCCTTATAAAACAGTTCAGAATGTCACAAGATAAAACAGAGAGGAACAGAAAATCAGTACCTGGTTATTGAACCAAGTCAAACTCCAGGCAAAATTAATGATCAATTTATTTCATTTAAAATATAATCCAATCTAAAAAAGAAAATTCATTTAAAAATCTTAGGTACTATTTTACTTAATACTTTACTATATTTCTACATACTTCTCCAAAATTGTCAAAACTAATATCATTTATACATCTTTGAGGTCAATGTTTAAATTAAATTAAAAATAAATAAAATTCTAAATGGCATTCCCAAAACTCATACGTGGAATTTTCATACATGCATATCCCCCACCGCAGCACTCCAAAACTGTTTGAAAAACAACATATATGCTAAAGCTAAACTAGCATCTGCTTAATAGACTGAACAGATCATATGCATTCACATACATCACAAAGGAACTCAGGACTGGCGGTAAATGGTACTGTGACTCTCCCTCTCTCTCTCAACTCATCTTTAATATTTACCTGGACTTAACAAATGTCTCTACGTATCTTATAGCCCTAAAGCTGGCACACAGAAAAACATGGCTACGTTAATGTTAGTGAAAAAAAATATTGTCTTGTGAAATTACACAGGGGAAATTAGCACACTAACCTGAGACAGTATAGAACACATAAAAGGGTAATATGATGTTAAATATTCAAATCTACATATTCAACAAGGGTCAAACTCCATTTTATATTTAAAAGTTATATTTCCCAATAGGCAATTTATATAACGATAAAAATATAGTTCAACTTGATCTTCTATATGCTTGGAGAAATACATTTCTTAGAAATAAAAAAAGGAACTTTGATATCCCTTTATTTTTCTGAGATATTTTTCTCTCAAGCCACCACTCCTCCTCCATTGCCTAAGATATCTTTGCAGAGTTTAATCCCCAGCATAGTTAGCACAAAAATCCTGGGAAACTGCCTACTCTGATTATGCTGCTTTTCAGAGAAAAAGCATTATCTGCAATAGGTTGATATGAATTCTGTTTCTAGTCCACCCCACCCCATCCAAATCATGCAAGGAACTCCAATATTTGGAAATAAGTTATTTGCAAAAAGAAATTTTTAAAGAAGATTAAAAAGCATTACGGTTTGTTTTTCCAATTTGCACTGGATAATAGAAAGTACAGAAAAGACATGTTTTGTTTACACTTTTGGAATCTGGAAAACACACATTACCAAAGATTAAAATGAAAGAATGGGGAGGGAGGGAAAAGGCAACTTCTTTGTGCACTGCCGGAGAAAGTTGTTTTGTTTTGCTTTTTTGAGTCATTTGGTAGTACGAACAACTGGAATATAAGCCAGCCATCTTCTATTTCTTTCCAAAAGGACCTGGCAACAAAATTGGGATTTCTAAGTCAGCTGGTACATGGTAGACTTAGACTAAATCGGCTTTATTTGCAGCTTCATAAGCAAGAGGGAGATTTGTGTATGCCTTCCCATGAAGTGAGAATAAATGAGACATACTGCATATTCTTCTGACCCACTTTGGAATTCACTCATACACAGGACAACACAACTTTCCCTTGTATTTATATAAGGGCTCATTCTTTTCAAAGTGCTTTATACCTAAATGTCATATTTCATTATCCTGACAAGCATAGAGGCAGGGAGTGAAGGAATTAATCCTATTTACAAACACTGAGTATAAGCCTTACTAGGAGGTGGTCTAAGATGATGACATAGTAGGCTCCTTAATTCATCTCCTCTCATGGACATTACGAGTGTATGGCTATACACAGAAAAATTCTCTCTCTAAAAAAAAAAAAATCCCCAAGTGATTCTTATAAATCAGGCTAAAGAGAAAAAGCCCACATCAAATAAGATAAATAAGAAAATCCGAGACACACTCTGGACATAAAACCCACCCCATCATAGGAACATTAAATCAGAAAGAGGCTTGCAACTCCTAGCTTCTCCATGAGGAGAGAAAGATTTGGATCCAGCATCTACTGCCCTAGCTTTTAAGACTTCCACCTGAGAGACAGACCTCCAAAACAGCCAGCCCTCAAAGCCAATAAGGCTTGTGTTCACAAGACTCACAATGCTATAGTAAACAAACAACAAAAAAAGAGTTCTTACATAGCTTGTGAGGACTAGCTGTGGCTCTCCCCACAGAGCTCAGTACAGAGGCAGCAGGCAAAAAAATGCCCATCTCTAAGTCTTTTACTAAAAGAGACCTATCTGCATATCTTAAAATTTATAGCTGGAAGATCAGGCTCCTAATTTAATACACATCTAGGAGCCATCTGAAATCCTTTTCAGAAACTGGAGAGACTGGCAAGTGCCATTTTTGTGTTCTCCCTGTACTCTGCTCCAGGTCACTAGTGTCTCCATGAAGGAAGCTTGTGCTCATGTCTGGTGCCTGGATTTTGTGGCTGGCACCCAGTGGAGGCACCCCTTGATCAACTGGCTATAGTGGTCCCTGCAGCTTGCATTCACAGGTCCCACAGGATGTAGCAAACAAAGAAACACTTCTTAACTTGCTATCACTCCAGGTCTCAGCACAGAGGGAACAGAGAGAAATGCCCATCTTATACATATATTTTTTTCTTGAAAGGGGTTTATTTACACACTTCAAATGTTGCTGCCTGAGGGTTTGGCTTCCAATCAGCGTGTATCTAGGAGCTAATTGAGACCTTCTTTGAGACACTGGCAAGTTTCGGCACACCCTCAACTACTAGGAGATATGAAAAACACAGGAGGTTTGGCCAATCCCAAAGGTCTGAAAAACAACCAAGAGTTAAACTGAATAATAGGGTTCCTCTTCTATAGATTATTCGATGAAGAATGGGAGAGGTAACTGTTTTATCTAATGCACAGACAGAACCAACACAGAGAGTCAAGGGAAATGAAGAAAGAAAGAAATATGTTTCAAATACAGAACAAGATAAAACTCCAGAAAGAGATCTTAATAAAATGAAGATAAGAGATTTACCTGATAAAGAGTTCAAAATTACGATCATAAACTTGCTCACCAAGATCAGGAGAACAATGTATAGACAGAGTGAGAAATTCAATAGAGATAGAAAACTTAAGGAAATATCAAGCATAAGTCACAGAGGTGTATTGAGGAATACAATAACAACTTGAAAATTCAATAGAGGGGTTCAACAACAGACTAGTTCAAGCAGACAAAAGGATTGACAAACTCAAAGCCAGGGCAGTGGAATTCATCCAATCAGAAAAGCAAAAAGAATGAAAAAGAGTGAAGATAGCTTAAGGGACATATGGGACACCATCAAATAGATCAATATTTGCTTTATGGGCCCTAGATAAAGAAAAAGAGAAAGGGGCAAAATTTTTATTCAAAGAAATAATGGCTGAACATTTCCAAAATTGGGGAAAGAAACAGGCATCTAGACCCAGTAATCCTAGACATTTCCAAAAAAGACAATCCCAAAAGACCTATACCAAGACACATATTTAAACTGTCAAAAGTTAAAGACAAGGAGAGTACCTTATAAGCAACAAAAGAAAAACAAATTGTTATATACAAAGAAACCTCCATAAGACCATAAGCAGATTTTCAACATAAACTTTGCAGGCCAAGAAATGTTGGGATGATAGATTTAAAGTGCTGAAAGAAAAAAAGCCAATCAAGGTTATTCTAGATTATTCTACCAGGCAAAGTCATCCTTCAGAATTGAGAGATAGAGTTTTCCAGACAAGCAAAATCAGAAGTTCATCATCACTAGATCAGCCTTACAAGAAATGTTAAAGGGAATCTTTCAAGCTGAAACAAAAGGATGCTAATTAGTAATAGGAAAACATGAGAAAGTATAAATTTTACTGGTAAAAATAAATATATGGTTAATTTCAAAATAATTTTTAATGGCAATGAGGAAATTACTTTATAAACCTAGTATAAAGGTTAAACCACTAAAAGGGTTAAAAGTAATAAAATAAAACTACAATTAAGTTGTTATCAGCTTAAAATAGACTATTACAAATATCAAATTTTTACAAAAACCTTATGGTAATCACAAACCTATAAAAGATACACAAAAATAAAGAGAAAGGATTCTACACATATCACTACAGAAAATCATCACGTCACAAAGAGAGCATAAGAAGAATAAATGCACAAAGGTATGGCAAAACAGCCTTCCGGAAAAGAATGAACAAAATGGTAATAGTAGGTCCATACCTATCGATAATTACCCTTAAATGTAAATCTATTAAATTTTCCAATGAAGATATAGAGTGGCTGAATGAATAAAAATACAAGACCCAACTATCTGCTGCCCACGAGTGACTCACTTCGGCTTTAAGGATGTACACACAGACTGAAAGTAAAGGAATGGTTTTTCCATTCCTATCTTTTTGATAGCACACAAATGAAAACCCAAAGAAAGCAGAGGTAGCTATACTTGTATAAGACAAAGACTATAATAAGAGACAAGAAAAGGTCATTATATAATGATAAAGGAATCAATCCAAGAAGAAGATATGGCATTTATAAATGTTTATCCACCTAACATAGGAGAATCTACATATATACAGCAATTATTATTAACAAACCTGAAAGGAGGAAATAGATAGTGATACAATAATAGTAGGGGACATCTACATTCCACTTTTGCGGAAAATCCATAAGGAAACATTGAATTTAAATGAGACGTAGACCAGATGGATTTAATAGAGTTTTATAGAGCATTCT